GTTCCTGGATTTCCCGAAGCACGAATCCCTCCATTTCCACAGCCACACGCACGAAGTCATGTAATTTACAGCACTTGCCGTGTATGCCCTAAAACATACAGGCCCGCCTCCACGCGGCCTGATATCAACGTGTGACCCCCTAAGCCCTCAACCCTAAACTCCTCAAGCCGTAAACCCACCACCCTAAAGCCTGAACCCTAAACCCCTAAACCCCTCAACCCTCAACTCCTCAAGCCGTAAAGGATATGGGGATCTCCGAAAATAGGGGACACTAATATAGTATCATAAATAATAGGATCCCTATTATAAGGACCCCAAAATTTCAGAAATTCCCATATTCCGAATGCCAAAAGACAGGTCCGAAAGACCCTAAACCCTAAACCCTAAACCCTAAACCCTAAACCCTAAACAGCTGAGGGACTCAACGGCCAGCCACACGTCGAGGCTTAGCGTGGCTTGGCTGCTCGCCTCTTTCTTTCTCTTTAGGTTTTAGGGGTTTAGGGGTTTAGGGTTTAGGGGTTAAGGATTCAGGGGTTAGGGGTTTAGGGGTTTAGGCTTTAGGGTTACAAATCGGAAGATTCTGAAAACTATGTTGGGGATCCTTTTCGGGAAGCCGTCACACTCCCACATCATAGTCATTGGCAGCATCAGCATGGGGGAAATTACAGCAGGATGAAGCAATCAAGGGCGACAGCTAATACCCAACTACTGCCATCGCAAAACCCTAAACCCTAAACCCTAAAACCAAAGGGTTTAGGGTTTAGGGTTCAACGGTAGGACGAGTATGACTTTTAGAATGAAGATGCTGGGAAACTGCTGCCATGAGTGAAGATGACGACGGTGATGACAACACACCGACGATCGCACCTGTATGCCTTCGTTGTTTCCATGACTGCTAATTTGATGGAAGTCAGAATATCTTCGAAACCTTTCAGTGCAACTAGACCGCATTTCTTTACGATGGCCGCAGGGAATGCCATTACTACTTACTCACTCAGCCCCTTATAGTACATCGATGTGTGGTGATCTGCGGTCTAAGCCGAAATGCATTTCAGGACATCAGGTTTTAGAGTTCCTTGGTATGTGGTAATCTGCAGTCTAATCCGAAAAGCCTTTCAGGACATCAGGTTTTACAGTTGCCTGAAGACTTAGACAACTGTTTGGGGGGGGGGGGGGTTGTGCTATACTTATAGAAGGGATGGCGAAGGCATTGTTTTCCAGCCCTCGTCCCCGTTGAGCAAAACCGAGTCACCGAGGGGTCTGAAGTCGATCATTCATTTCACGGTATCAACTCGATGCAACCCCAACAGACTAGCAACATCCTGCAATATCAGTCATAAGGCATATGCCATGATTCGATCAGTTAGTTTACTGAAGGCAGTGCAAAATTTTGTCCATCAGCCGTACCGTGAAGTGCCGCAAAAAGCAATGGCTGTGGGATGCTGTGGGGTCGTGGGAAAAAGCTTTAGGGCAATGTGCGGAAATACTAGAATCGGGTCTTGAATTGGGAGTATAGCACAGGACACTCTCAGCCAAAGGACAAGTGGCTCGCTTGCTACAGGTCCTTTTTTGAGAGAAACTCCTTTAGCACATATCCGAAACACATCAGTATGGAGAAACACAGCGACTCCAGCTGACAGTCCGTCAGAACAGCCTGAAGCCCTTCGGCAAAAAAATACGAAGCAAGGTTCTTTGGACTTCCAGGGGCTAGAGCCCAAAAACATCATTGGGGTTGAGTCACTTTGGCGAAATTCGGATTTAGAGTTTATAGGTCTCAGTGCCCAAAGCAAAAGACCTTAAGCTTGGTCAGGCCTCGAGCCCTTTAAGGGTGTAGACTTTAAGGCTTTAGGGCTTAGAGGGTTTAGGGTTTAGGGTGACTTTAAGGCTTTAGAGTTTAGCTTCAGGGCTTATTTGGGCATAGGGTCTAGGAGTCTAGAGGTTCAGGGTTTGCGATATAACCCTAAACCCTAAACCCTAATATAGAAGCCTATTCTTCCTGAGAGGTTCCTTATTATACTTGAAGGCTCATGGGACTTAGTAAGTAGGGTTACAAGTCCGTTTATTCGGGTTATAAGTATAGTTCCCTTAGTTATAACCCTTCTTACTAAGTCCCAGGATCCTTTAAGTAATATACTATACAGGAGCCCAAGATCCTGTTCTAATCATTAAGGACCCTACATTAGGGCGGCTGGCTTTCTATCGGCCCATTTTCTCGCAAGCGTAGCCGCTTCACAGCTGTCTTCCGCAGAGAGACCGATATCTCCCCCTCATATAGCAACCTAGTGTTTGGGCGACTTTTTCACGGGTTTCGGAGCCTCATAAGCCCTAAACTTCAAGTCGAAACTCCATAAACCCCAAAGTCTAAACTGGCGTATCTATCGGGAGACTAGGGAAGCCGTGAGGCTTCCGATTTCAAGCGCTGGGTGACACGGGCATCCGCCCAGGGACCAAACCTTACAGGATGCAAGGTTTACTTTCAACTACCAAAACCTACTTTTTTGTAGGGCCCCTATAAATTCTATATTAGGGTTTATAATAAGGACCTACAGAAAAATACCAAAACCTACTTTTTTGTAGGGCCCCTATAAATTCTATATTAGGGTTTATAATAAGGACCTACAGAAAAGTAGGTTATGGTAGTGCAAGGTAGGGTTTCGGAGAGGTAAGGCTCGAACCCTCAACCCCAAACCCCTATAAAACCTAAACCCGAAACCCTTACCTTGCACTACCATGGGGTTTAGGGTTTAGGGTTTAGGGTTTAGTCATAACCTACTTTTTTGTAGGTCCTTATTATAAACAGTAATATAGAATTTATAGAGACCCTACAAAAAAAGGAGGTTTTGGTAGTTTAAGGTAGGGCTTGCGGCTTGTCCAGGTTCCTAAGGAAACTAACGGTGTAGCGGCGCTGTAGTTGTTGTAGAGGGGTTCTCAAAGGTAAAACTTTTAAGCTTAGGGTTTCGAGTTTCGGGTTTAGGGGTTGGGGGTTTAGGGGTTTAGGGTTTAGGATCAAGTTCAAACCTTTTGAGATTACATAAGCTATAGGGTTTCCACTACAACAACATCGAAGGGAAAGGCTGCTTACAGGACTGCTGAGTCACTTCGTCATGTCCTCGAGCATCTCCCGTGCTCCGGGCCCATCACCGGCGAGGACGTGCGCATTCAGAAGCTCTTGGTATGTCATTCCGGATGGACCTTAGTGCTAATTTCAGGATGAAAAGCAGCCCCCTAGAATCTAAATGCAGGTCACCTTGTTGCTCTTTTCCAGTGCTCTTACTGGGATCTTTGACAAGAGGACTAAGAGATGGACTGACGCCCGCTTGCAGCATCTCATCAAGAATCCTCTTGCACTGCTCCAAGTCCTTTCGGTGGCAAGACATAAGCGCCGTCCATGTGTCCACCTCGGGAAGTATGTCATAATGAGGTAGCATTTCGAAGACAGCTCTTGCGGTTTCAGCCAGCCCATCTTTTGCGCAAGAGATGATCATGGCGTTGAAATGACTTCGGCTTGGTGGGATTCCTTTGGATGTCATGTCCATGAAGAGCTCACGCGTAGAAGCGTAGTCGCCTTGTCCTTGCACGCGCACTGCTGAAGGAACAAACAACATAAACTTCTAGAAATCATTCTACATCATAACAGCCCACAGAGGTGCAACACTTGCTGCTAGTGGAGAAGTAAGTGTCTAGCATAAGCGAACATCACCGTTGCATAGCTGGCCTCCCGGTTGGAAGAGCCAGCCTCTTCGAAAACTGCTTCTGGAATACTCTCGAAAGTACTCCGGGCTTTATCTGCCACTGAAGTCATCCCATAAGCCTGGATCAAGGTGTTGTAAGTGAGGATGTTGGGCGTCACTGCCTTAGAATTCATTTCCTCAAAGAGCTTCTCGGCCTTGTGCACTCTCTTGAGGTTGCTGTACACCTTCATCTAATGCACCCCTACCATCCTTACACAGTGATACTATCAAATTACAACAGCCCCTGAAAATTTGCATATTGGTGTACCAGCCTATCCCAATTTGCCCCAAACGCCTTTTCAAACCAGTTAAAGATCCTATACCCCCTAAACCCGAACCCTAAACCCTAAAACCTAAACCCTGAGCCCTAAACCGCCTTCATCATGGTCGTGTAGCTCACGACATTCTTGAAGTCTTCGCTCATTTCTGCCCAAAGGGCTTCGGCCTCCTCTACCCAGCCAGCCCTTGCCTTGCAGGTACCAGGCTTAGGGTTTGGGGTTCAGGGTTTAGGGTTTAGGGTACCAGGACCCTCCAAGTACCCTCAAATAGGGGTATATGGTCCCAAATTAAGGAATACAGGGTAGATGGAGGGTCTAGGTAACTTTGGGTTTAAAATCTTTTTGTTGTGTCTGAAAATGCACAGCCCGAGATGGCTGGGTTCAGGGTGTAGGGTACAGGTGCGTTGGTGTATAGGGTTTAGGGTTTAGGGCCCCTACTTCCAAAAGTCATACAAGCCAGGGAAGCAACAAGCGCGAGTATCAGAATAGTTCTGGGTTTATAAGAACCGCAAAAGTACAAGGGTTGGGTATTGGAGACCTGAACCACCCCCACAAGGGATGGACATAACCAACAGACCCTACTTGGAGCACCGAGTTGCGCAAAGGTTCAAGCCAACATTATACTCGATCACACCTTTTGGTTCCATCGACTGGAACAAAGGCCAAGCATCTTCGAACTGTCCTGTGCAGCGGCCCGTATCACTGAAGCATGTGGGCGCTACTACTTCCTGTGTCCCAAACAGGGAGCTAATCTGAAGAGTCTTCGCCCAAAGGATCCCAAGTACAGAACACGGGGGATACTGCAGCACCAACCAAGAAAAAAAAGCTCTCTGAAGACACTGACTCTGTGCTACGTGGGTGCTTAGGACCACTTGGGGTATCCCTGCGTTTCGCCCTCCCTGGTCCTGACTTCACTAAGCGGCTGATCTTCTTCGTGCCTGCTTTGACCTGGACCCCTAAGTAAGGTTTAGGGTTTAGGGTTCACACACAAATCCCTTATAACACCCTCAAAGCCTTATCACAAAATCCAAAAGAGATCCGATGGAAAATCTGCACAGTAGAGACCCGCAGTAACTTGCAAAGCCCTCTTGTTTCAAAACCTCTCAGAAACCCTCTAGAAATCGTTAAGGAGTCTGAATTATGACGGCCGGGAAGAGCCCTGTAAAATTCGATCAGGACGATGTAGAGACCCCAAATAACCGTCCACCCTAAACCCCAAATCCTGCACTATAACTTGAACCCAATCCTGCAGCCTGAATCCTAAGGCCCTCCTTTAAGGGATCTATATGGTTCCTATACGGGCTCCTTTAAGGGATCTATAGGGTTCTATAAGGGTTCCTTTAAGGGATCTATAGGGTTAAAGCCTAAAGCCTCAACCGGGGTGTGCTGTACTAGATCCGCCATAAGGAAGCTTAGAGGACCCTCCCAAACCCTAAACCCTAAACTCTAAAACCTAGTCCCTGTTCTAGTTCTTAAGGACATGCCTGGCCTCTGGGCTAACCTCTGCATCTGACAACAGCGGTCGGTTCCGCCGCATGTCGTCGCGGTTCCTAAGTCTTCAGATTAAGTAAACTGTACTAGGGTTTAGGGTTTAGGGGCAAGAGCGATTTGTGTGGCTTAGCTTCAGGGTGTGGAGTTGAGGGCTTCGGCGCTCACTCTCGGACACCCCAGGCGAGGTTATTGGTGCGGGTGCGGAGTCGGTTCATGTGAGACAGTCTGGATTAAAAACCGCAGAAACGATGACATTTTCAGTTCCGGAAGTTCCAATTAGACACACTGCAGCCTCCTAAACCCTAAACCCTCAACCTCGATATGAGTGTACGCGGAGCCCGAAAAGGGGGAGAAGGTTCAGGGCTTGGGGCTCTGGGATCTACAGGGTTTAGGGTTTAGGGTCTACAGGGTTTAGGGCTAACTGCCAATGTGGGATAACTTACACGAACCATAAGTCTAATTCCTTTGCCGGGCCCTTTGGGAATATGCGCCTCCTAGAGTAAATGCTGCGTGTGGTAAGCTGCCGTCAGGACATACTGATTTGTAAAGTCCAAACTCAAAAACGAGACTACTACCTAACCCAGGCTCACAAAATCACGGCTCACTTTTAAGTTCTGCCTCTCCTGGCGCTTCAGCTGTGTCGCAACGAAGCTCACGGAGCGCTTCGCATGCAGGGTCAGCAATGAGAAAGTGCGCGGGCGGAGCATGTTCACCAACTCAACTCGACGACTATCTGTTGTGTAATCCTGTCATTTAAGCATTGGGGCTCTAGCCTAGCTAGACATGTGGAGGCTTCAGAAAGGAAGGGATGAGCAACCCTGCACAAAGTACCCTCCAATTTCTGGAGCAAACCCGGACCCTACATGCTCGCGTCTGCTGTAAATGCTTCGGCAGCTCGGCAGTCCAAGATTTTTGGCTCCCGAACCCTGTCGCAAGTGGAGCTTGGTGGCTCCTGAAGCCTAAACCTGCAACCCCACGGCATAATACCTGAAGAGAATGCTAAGACTGCTAAGATGTTGCAATTTTCGGTACAGGATTTAGGGAAGGTTGGTTTCAGAAGTGCTGCTCATGGCATTCGCACTTCGAGTTCCTGCAGCGATTGTTAGTATTTCAGACGAAACGACGCGGACGGACAGGATGAACACAAGGACAATTTCACACGATGCGACAGTGAGACGACTGACATCCTCTTGCTGTCGTCATGCTGCAGTTGCTACTGCCGCTCCTACCACTACTACCGATGCGTCTCCTACTTCTGCTACGTACTACGTCTACCTCCGTCGCTCCTGCAACTACGGCTGCAGCAGATTGTGTGCTTGCTCTTTCCTTTCAGCTGTTGGCCCTTCTTGATTGGAACAATGCCGACACCGACCTAAGACGTCAAATGACGAAAGGTTTCATACCTCAGAGCCCAAAGCCAGAAGACTCCACCCCCTACAATGCACCCGATTCAGGCCCAGGGTCACAAAACCCAGCCCAAAACACAATAGCAAACCCCATATACATCTCGTCTAAACCTGTTTTGATACCCCTTCGAAGCTGAATCTGTGGAACAACACAACTGCAGCCAGGAGGCCCAATGAAAAATATCCGTGACTATTCAGACCCCTAAACCCAAAACAACCCTAAACCCTAAAGCCTGAATTCAGGCTTCGATATGGTGGTTTCCGAAAATAAAGGGACCCTCGTAGGAGCCTTATTATAAGGACCCCAGAATAACGCACCCCTTATTTTCGGAAACTCCCACCCTAAACCCTCACCCTAAGCCCTAAACCCTAAACCCCATCTTTTGCCAGGACTTGGAAGCACTGGCCTCGCCTGAAGGGCAGGGAGTAGCCACCCCAGCTTGCCCGATCCTGCGGGTTTGGGTTTAGGGTTTAAGGCATGGGTTTTTTCGGGTTTAGGGTCTAGGGGTTTGGGGTTAGGGTTTAAGTTTAAGGGTTGGGGGTTTGGGGTTAGGGTTGGGTTTTTTATTTGAACGACCCTTTTCCGTCTCGCTGAGAGTCTGCAGGTGATCTTCCACTGGGCATTATTTCGACAAGCTCTGTTAAGGGTTTAGGGTTTACGGAGTTTTGGGGCATAGGATGTCGCGCGTAGGGGCTTGGGTTGGGGGTGCCAGGTGTCGAGTATAGGTTTGCTCGGTGGCTGCTACAGCAGGTTTCGAGTTGTCGTGTTATGGGTTAAGGGTTTAGGGCTTAGAGTCTGGAGGTAGGGTATTCTTCCGTTACAAAGGATGACGGTTTGTATGTATGTAATCCTGTGTGTCTGCAATGTATCATAAGGTACTGCGCATGCAAAAGCACATGTAAATGTGCTTTGACATGTACATGTTGATGCTAATGATAATGTGCTAATGCTACGGCTGCTGCTGCTGCTGCTGCTGAAGAGAATGTTTTCTGCGTTTTAGGAGTTTAAGACGCAGTCGCAAGCATGAATGAATGTGGCAAACTGCAAATGCACTACAAGAAACGTAGTTGTAAAATGCTATAAATTACCTGTAAACGTATATGTGCCTGCAATTCTCTGTCAAGGGTAAAGGCAAACAGCAAAGGTGAAGGTAGCGTGCTTGTGCCTGTGTGTGTGCACGCGCCCGGGTGTGTGTGAGCGCTTCCAAAGCCTGTCTTGGCCGGATCCTGCCCGCAAAAGCTCAAAACCCTTCTTAGGTTTAGGGTTTAGGGTTTCGCAGGCTTGATGGGAGCTCGCGCATACCCCAAAACCCAAAACCTTACAAGCCCCAAAGGAGCTAGTTTGAAACCCTAAACCCCTAAACCTTAAAAGCCCTAAAGGAGTCCTGAAACCCTGAGCCAGACCCACAGGAGCTCAAAACAGCCCCAAGCCCCACACCCGAAGCCCCAAGAAGCCCCCAAAACAGTCCTGAACTCTAAACCCGAAGCCCTACCCCCAAGAAGGCCCAAACAGTCCTGAACTCTAAAAACCCGATGCCCTAACCCCAACCTCTTCAAAACCCGAAACCCTACCCCCTAAAAGAAACACAAAAACCAAAATGGCCAGGGTTTAGGGTTTAGGGCCTTTTTGAGCAGGGATTGCAATGCACTAAGCCCTGAATTAAAACGGTCCTAAACCCTAAAACCTACACCCCAAACCCCAAACTCCAAGTCGGAAACCAAAAGCCTAAAAGACCCGACGGGCCTGGAAAGGCAACCACCCCGTCCATGGCATTGCCATCATAGACCTCTAGACCCTTCGGTATTAAGGGTTTCGGGTTTGGAGATTATAGAAAGTTTAGGCTGTGGGATTTAGGGTTTAAGGTTTCAGGGTTTAGTGTCATATTTAGGGTTGCGGGTTCGCTGCTCCCCCATCCAGGCTTCGTTTCACGCTGCGTTTCAGGGCTCTGTGGCATTTAGGGCTGCGAAGTCTCCCATCCGTTCGCTGCGGGGATTTATGGAATACCACTGCTTCGTGGGGGATGGCTTTGGCAGCGCAAGCTATTCGATGTGAGTTTTCATGCGCACGGCCTTGGGTTGGGATGCTGCTATGTTTAGGGTTTGGGGCTCAGGTCTTTGGGGCTTTGGTTGGTATCCTATTGTTATGCTGAACATGCAGTCTGAAGTTGAATGAAGATCAGCCATTCTCTGAACCGTACCCAAATGCTGTTTTGACGCTTTTGCAACTGGATTGTACAGTCACGCCAGGAAAGCTGTTTTGACTTTTTTTCAGCAGGCTTGTTGGTTCTCGCCTGAACAAGCTGTTCATGTTCGCCAACAGGTGTAAACGCACTACTAAGCTGTTTTGACCCTAAACCTTGAACCCCTTTAAAAGCAGAGTTTTGCCTTGATCCTTGCATCTTCCCGTCCACAGAGGGTTTACTAGGGCGCTGCATTGATTAAGCACCATTCTCCATTCAAGGAGTATAGACCGCCGACCAAGATTGTTCTTTCTATGGCTCGCAGAATATCCATTGATAGCTTACCCCACGTCTCCTGAGCCCTATGGAATATTCCTTGATCAAGGAATATGTTTATATATACCACAAATCAAAAAGCGTAAGTCCTGGAAGACTTAAAAAATATGACTGAGCAAGGGCATCTACCAATCCAAAGCACACTGCGAACAAACTTAGTCTGACCTCTGAAGCGGAAGAAATACAATCAACCAGAAACAATTAAACTACCAAGCCAAAACCTAGTAGAATGTATTTCTCTGAAGTGGGGCCCTTTGAAGGGTCCTTTTTGTATCAGTGCTGCCTTCTGTTGGCTTCCTTCAAAAAGGGACCCTGATTCATAGACCACCTATACCCCTGTACAAAGGGGTGTTGGGTTCGCTCGGTGACGACCTTTTCGGCCCTCTGTTGACCGCGCGGCAAGGGGGTAGCGCTGTCGGAGAATGCTGAAGAGGCCCAAACAGACCTCAGAGATCAGGATTCAGTTGACGGAAGGGGGAGTAGAAGGGCATTGACATTGCGCCTTTGGGGGCGTGTATGACATGCTCTCTTCTTCAACAACCCCAAAAAAGTTTGAACCTTTTCGGATAGACCTAATATATAGGGCCAAAAAGTTTAAAGTTCTCCCTTTGGCTAATGTCAGATACCGATTAAGAACCCCCCCCGATTAGACAGGTCCATCCCGAAAATTCGAAGCCGCTAATGAACACTTCCATTGGAACCCCCTCCATTAACACCGGAGCCCCAAAAACCCCCCCCCGATTAGACAGGA